AGTCAGTCTGCTTTCTGGAGAAGATATCCTGCAGATAACTTGATAGTAGATATCCCCTGGAGGACCCTTCTCATCTAATAACCCCGAAGGCCCATTTTAATATGAAATATAAATCCAATACGTTTACAAACATACTGAAAGAGAACTCGAAGGTCAGTTGTCTCATATTGTGAAATATTTTCATTTTTAATATAGTACTTTTATTTCTCAAAACCACATCCAAGGAAAATGATTAAGTGCTAGAAGTTTTATACTACATGGAACAACAGCAAACGCATCTGTTTTCCTGCCTCTCTTCTCTCCCCTCCCCCACTCTCCATCCTGCTGGCTGTTTGTAGGTCTTGGTGGTTGTTAAAATTACTCTCTACAATGGTCTCAAAATGCTGTCGATTCTGAAAAACCTCTTATCCTTTAACATTGCTGAGACTAAATTTATGTGCTGTTCTAAAGAAGAAAAATCCAAAAGTCAAAAAGCCTTTTTAATGACAGATGTATTACGGAAAATTTTCCCCACAAAGTTTTGATGCTGTGAAATATCAACTCCCTGAAATCACAGAAAGGAAATGACTTACATTCTTGGAAAATGAAGCCACTAGCAGCTTTCTCCAGCAGTATTTTCTAATCCGTAAACTACACCCTGTGGCAACGGGGAGTATTTCCTGCAAAAACTAAATTTAAATAGATGCTTATAAAACCAATAAACAAACATCGTCGGGTCCCAGACAGAATCATACATGGAAAATCCAGCACAAGATACTTTTTCTGAACAGTAAAACACACACACACACACACACACACACACACACACACACACACACACACACAGCTGGAGAGCACAGGCTTGAAGTCAAAAGCAACCCGAGAACATTGCTGAAGTTTTCCTTCCCCGCTGTGGGCAATGCACAGCTCCGGAGGGAAATACTAGCAAAACAGATTTGTGCTAAAAAAACAAAAACGAAAAGGGTGTAAAGAAGCTAATATTTCTCTGGACAAACAACTGCATGCTCTGAAAATCTGCCAGCTTTCACTCAAACTTTAAAATATGCGTATTTTGACAGCTTTCCATTTATTCATGCCTTTAAGAAAACGCCCTCACCATCACCATTTGGTTATGCCGTCCCGGGACTCGAGGTGCTGCTCTGACCCCGCTGGACCTCACACTGGCGGCTCCCAGCTGTCCATACCTGACAGTTCCTGGCCATCCCAGAGGAGCGGCTGGCGGTCCCCTCTGCCTGGGGCCGGGCCTGCGCGCCGCGCGCAAGCTCCTCCAGGAACCCAATTCTGCAGGCTGCGCCCCCTTCTCACATCCCGCCGAGGCCCCCTTCTGGCGCCGCCGAGCTTCAACTCAATCTCCGTCTCCCCGGACTAGGCACTTTCAGGGACCAGGGGGCAGACGCTGCGCTCGGGTCCCTTCCCGCAGCCGGACAGCCCGGCCCCAAGGCGCGCACAACAGGCGGCAGGCACCGCACCCAGGAACGCAGGGCTCAGGGGCTGGCCCCGGCGCCCAGTCACAGCGACGGGGCGCGACGGCTAGGCGCCCCCAGAACAGGGCAACGGGGTCCACCGTGGAGCCGAGCGCGACGCATCGAGCCCGGGGCGCAGCCAGCAGCCGG